CTTCTGTCTGTTATCCAGCCACACGATTTAGCCTGTGCTAGCTAGTCTACATCTTGTCTTTTTCCTGCTATCACATTTCCAGTAAAACAAATAATATTCTCCCTAAGAAGACTGTTAATCAGGAAGCAGAGGTACCTACTTTGCCTCTTTAGCACCCAAATACATTCAACCAAACCAGAGGTCTCAGTTAAAATCAAAACCTTTTAAGATTCTTTATCTGGTTTTCCTGTACAGCACAGCTTCTGAATCCAAAGAAGGGGGAGAGATTCTAAATTTGGTTCAGCGGGTTTCTCATACTTCTTACTGAAGGGTATCTGGAAGCTAAGAAGCAAAATATGTAGGTTGCATTTTCAGTTTTAAAAATAATGGAAAAAAATACTCAGTGTAGTATATTTCATTGATTCTAATTTTTAATCTCTGTTTTTATTAACTCTCAAGAACAATCATTCCCCAGTGGGAACTTTATAACAGTTGTCTGTAGTTCATTCTGGAAGTAAAATTTCCCCTAAGAACTTGGAAATAAGGGAGATAAGAGTAGTCTCTGGGAAATAAACTTGAGGATCAACACAGTGACCAGAAGATAAAGTCACTTTTAAAGTAAAAGAGTGGCTCTGGGTTTAGAAGACCTGAAAGTATGCTTATTAACCAAAAGCATTACCAAAGAAGGAGTACAACAAAAAAGGGGATGTGAGAGGGGCCAGGCACAACCATCTACAGAAGAAGAATAGATTTTCCTGGGCAGACTCCCCAGGAAAGATGTCCCAGACTTCTGAATCACTCACAGACCCTTTCTAATGGGAGAGCAATGCCCCAAACATACCAGGCTTTGATTCATCCAATCCCTTTGTCCTAATTCAATCCTCACTGAGCAGCCTTCCTTATGTGGGGAAAGAAGGCACTGATCACATAGGCTTGGACTCATCTATACAACCACAGATGTGAACTGAGTCTTCTCTAAGTGCCTTACACTGTCCTAGACAACAGATATACAGTGGAAAATCCAACATTTCAGGTCCTTAGGGAAAACACAAACAAGCAAATAAATAAATAACTGCATCTAGTGATAAGAACCATTAAAAAAATAATAAAGGCCAGACACAGTGGCTCACATCTGTAATCCCAGCACTTTGGGAGGCAGAGGCTGGAAGATCACTTGAGTCATGATCTTCAAGAGCAGCCTAGGCAACATGGTGACAACCCATCTCTATCACACAAAATATAAACATTAGCTGGGCATGGTGGCATGCACTTGTAGTCCCAGCTACTTGAGAGACTGAGGCAGAAGGATCTCTTGAGCCTGGGAGTCAAAGATTGTGGTGAGCCCAGATTGCACCACTGTACTCCAGTATGGGCGACAGAATAAGATGCTGTCTCAAATAATAATAATGATAATAATAATAAAGTTAGGTAATGGACTAGATGATGGCTGTGTTGTAGGTGTTTTAAGAAGAGGGATCAGGAATAGCTTATTTGAAAAAGTGACATTTAATATAAGAGCAGAGACAGAGCCTACCCCGAGCATTTTCCAACTACGTTTTTTAAAAGGTTATGTATTGACATGATGGTAGAGAAGAGCATGATGAAAAGACTAGAACCAGCAATGTGAAAGGGAGTATGAAGTGTGTAGACAAGTTAGGTAATGGGTAGCTTATTTTTCTGTGCTAGCCCTTCATCATGCACAGCACAGGCCCTACTTCCTCACTGCCAATCCCTGCCCAAACCTCTCCCAGGCTTGCACCTCCAGATCTTAAACATGACTGTGCCTCTGGCTGATAGCTTGGTGAGGATCCGGAATCTGCCATGTAAAAATGGGGAAAGAGAGTTACTCCGCAGAGGGAACAGGAAAAGCTGTCAGAGGAGAGCAAGCCCAACATTTCTTTGGAACTTACAGTGAACCTGGAGCTTTATGAACAAGAACAAAAGTACAGAAGCCAGGACCAGAGAAGCAGCAAAGAACAGAGTCACAGGAAAAACCTTTGAGTTTTATTGTAAGTCAAATAGGAAGTAAGGAAGTGACATGACCTCATTTACATATTTTTTATTTTTTGAGACAGAGTCTCACTTTGTCACCCAGGCTGTAGTGCAGTGGAACATGAGCAGCCTCAACCTCCCAGGCTCAGGGAGTTCTCTCACCTCAGCCTCCAGAGAAGCTGGGAGTACAAGTGCACACCATTATTCCCACTAATTTTTTTATTTTAGTAGAGAGGAGGCTTCACTGTGCTGCCCAGGCTGGTCTCAAATTCCTGGCTCAGGCAATCCACCCACCTCAGCCTCCCAAAGTGCTAGCATTATAGTCTTGAGCCACCATGCTAGCTTACATATTTAAAGATCCCATTGGCTACTGGGTGGAGAATAAACTGCAGGGCAAAAGGCAAACGAAGCAGCAAGATTAGTTAGAAAGTTCTAAAAGTAGCCTAGGCAAGTAGTGATGTGACTTGAGTAGGATGGCAACAGTAATTTTGGGGAGAAGAGAGTAAATTTAGGACATATTTTGGAGACGGATTCCCAGGACTTGCTGACAGACATGTATGTGGGGTAGAGAGTCATGCTTTAGCTTAGCAAAGTGGTGACATTTACTGAAACTGGTAAGATTGGGAGAGGATTAACAGCTCTTTGATGGGCTTGAGATGCCCACTAAAGACACAAGCGGATATGCAAGTTAGGCAGCTGGGGCTCCTGGGAAAACATTGAGATGAATATATAAATTGTAAAATTAGAAAATTATCGTGCCTAGATGATCTTCAAATCCATGGGCATTCCCATCCTTGAGAAAGTTATTTTTCACTGTAATTGAATAAATTGAGTAACTTATCAAGATAGTGAGAGCCAAGCTAAGATGCCCCATCACAGCTGGCCGTGCCCAGGCTGGGCCTGCCTGTCTGCATTGCCAAAGGCCTCCACTGAGAGCTGCTTCTACAGGTTATTTTGTTGTGTTTCTAAAAACAATGAAACTCTGTGCCCAAGTTCCCCTTTATTCTTACGGATCAACATGGAAATTAAGAAAAGTGACATTTATTCAAAATATTTTTGAAAAAAATGCATGACAGTGTTTATTTGGTGGAATAAAGAAATATTACACAAATAAAAGAGAAACTTAACTAAGCAGATTAAGGGACGGAATGGAATACCTGTGCCCTTTTTCGAGGCCACATGCAGTAACCAGGGCTCCCTGACTTTATACGCAATGTGAAAGGGCTCTATTGGTTAAGTAACCGAATGAAATTAGCCCCCCAAAAAGTCACGATCGATTTCCTAGAATAAAAGGAACATAGGACAATTTATATTTATCCTCTTAATAGTTATTGATTGAGTAACTACTATGTGATTACTGTGTTGACTTCATGCCCTCCTGGGGCTCCTTTCTCAGCAGAGGAGGCAGACCATACTAAGGGATGGAGCTGATGGCGTGGGTGTAAAATATCTTTTGACCAAGGTAAGAAGGTGATAGGCAGTTCCAATAAGAAAAAGACAAATAACCCTAGAGTTGGTTTCTCGAACACTAAATATAACTCTGTTTATTGCACAAAAACTTTATATTCTTATTTGGAACTAAAATTTAAATTTTCAGTTCCAAATTATTAATGTAATTAAAGTTAATTGACCCATTAATGTTTTTAATAGCCCTTAACAACACTTTTTATTTTTTGCTGAGACTTCTAAAGATATTTCCGTTTTGTCCCCATTCTCCTTTATTGTTCACCACCTTTTCTGTGTTAAGTCTGAAAGATTCTAGAGGGCAGTAGACTTTCCTTATAAGCCTAGCCCTATATCTGCTTATGGGAGCCACATGTACGTGTAGCCTGAGATGGGACAGAGAAGGTAAGGGGGCAAAGAAGAGCCTCCAGATTTCCATTTCACTCTAACCTCAAGGAGTTGGAGAGCTGCTATTCTGATTATACAAACCACGTTTCACAGACAGTCAAATCACTCCCTGCTGCCACAGCAGAAAGATGGCTGGGGTTTGCATTCTGTTGATGCTAACTCCTTGCCATCTGTCTGTTACCTTTTTCTACTTTTTTTCATAATAACCTGTAGAAAAGAGACACCAGGCCTGATCAACCTGGGAGAAGCCCAGTCACCTTTAAGATTTTGGCTCTTTTGTTCTCTCCCCCAGCCCCACACATTTGAACACTTTCTGTAATGGAGCAGCTGGGCTCAGGATCTGCTGAATCAGCGAGAGAGGGCTGAACCTGCTCTGATCTAGGATCTATGCTTCGTTTTAAGTGCCCATCTTTCCCACTCAGGCTGATGGCTGCATCCTATAAATCATTTAAGTGTTAAGATCCAACAATGTTTGACCTTTCATTTCAAATTATTTAGGACGAATCAGTTTAGGTAAAGGAAGTTTCCTTAGTATCATTTCTAATCAACTAGAAATTTACCATGGGGTTTGTGGCCAGTGCCCTGATTGGTTATAAACTTGTCTTGCTCTACAGGTAACTGACCTGAGTATGTATTTCCCTCAAGGACCTGGGAGAGAGGGCTGACTATGGCAGGGCAAAGTTCACCTTATCCTGGGGTCCCTAGGCCAAAAACTCTATTAATAACACTCTTTACCAGCACCTCCATTTCATTATTGCCAATAGTCAGGCTTTTAAAGGGCATCAGAGGCCACAGACATTTTTTTTAATGTCTGAACTTGAGAGTTGTTATAAAGTCACCTTTGTTCTACATGATGCATTGAGCCTGGATGAAACAACTCATTCTAAAAGAACATTGCCCTTCCCCACTCTGCCAGCATTCACTGTTTTCCACAAAGGCAGCATCGGCTTTAACAGAAGATAATAGTCATAGACACATAACAATCACAGCTGAGTTTGATATTTTACCTATGAGAATCTTTTATCAAACCCTTTGTAAGAGTTTTTAAATACTTTTATTCTTTATAACTTATTTTGATATGCACAAAATGCCCCTCCCTTTCCCCATTTCTCTGTACTATCACCAAAGGCTGGTTTGTATTCTAGATAATCAGCACATGAAGTAAAATCAGAAAAGAATTATTTCTTTCCATGTTTACCTATAAAGATAATGGTTTGAAATCTGTTACCGTACTTTTTTTCCTGAACAATTCCTCATTGGAAATTACAGAACTCAGGCTGTAGGTGCCACCGCCTTTTGAAAACTTCTATCCTGAGAGTATCACAGACCTTGCCTTACCTTTAGTTGAACTAGATGAGCATCCACATGCTTGCTGTCTGAATCTTGCTGGACTGAATAAGTTAGGTCTCGGACCCTCTCTGAGGTCATCCGGAGCCAGGTCTCAATTTCAGGTAAGTGGAGGACAATCTTCCAGTCAGCCCCTGTGTGTAGTGGGGGTGGCTTTTCATACTGCTGGTCAGAGTCCATGTCCTTCATTGCCTCTTCTCCCTCACCCTGCTCCACAGTGGGTGTCATGTTGATGGCCATGGGTGAAGCATCAGTAGCCATGGGATCCAGGTCCTGTGACCTCAGTGGGGAAAGTGTCACGCTCATGGTTAACATGGAGAAGTCTAAACCTTACTTCTTTCCAAAACAACTGAAAGGCAAAAGGAAAAAAGAAAGCAAGAGTCAGTCAAGATTGCCAAATAAAGAAATGATACTTCACAGAAGAAACAGGATTTCTAAATTAAGCCAGATTTCTAAATTAAGAAACCATAGCTCATAATAAAAACAGAAGGAGGTGTTTTGATTTTCTGCATGGTAGTCCCCAGAGCCAGGAAATAACATGAACACAAAACCATTGTGATATTGACTACTCTCCCCCCACCACTCTCATCTATTCTTCCCACATTTCTTAGTAACAAAATCCTGGTTGTTAGCTATTCATGTTCCTGACCAGAACTTAAAACTACATTCCCGGCCGGGCGCAGTGGCTCAAGCCTGTAATCCCAGCACTTTGGGAGGCTGAGGCGGGTGGATCACGAGGTCAAGAGATGGAGACCATCCTGGTCAACACGGTGAAACCCCGTCTCTACTAAAACTACAAAAAATCGGCTGGGCATGGTGGCGCGTGCCTGTAATCCCAGCTGCTCAGGAGGCTGAGGCAGGAGAATTGCCTGAACCCAGGAGGCGGAGGTTGCAGTGAGCCGAGATCGCGCCATTGCACTCCAGCCTGGGTAACATGAGTGAAACTCCGTCTCAAAAAAAAACCCAAAAAACTACATTCCCTATCTCCTTTGCAGCTATGTGTAGCCATATTCTGGCCAATGAGATATAAGTGGAAATGCTGCATTCAGATTCTGGGAGAGCGGCTTACAGGGAGCTGACTCAATTAGGAAGGGCCCACCTTTATGACCTTCTACTTTCTTCCCCTTCTTCCAGCCTGTAATGTGAACTTGATAGCTAGCAGCTGGTAACTCAGACCCAGAAAGGCCTTTGAGTATGATGGGTAGAGGATGGTGGTGCATGGGGGTAGAAATATCGACCCCACATGATAACAAGAAGCTACTGCACCAGGTCTGATTGCTGCCCTGGACTTCTTTTATGTGAGAGAAAATCCAAGCTTTTATCTTGTTCAAGCCAGGATTATATTGGGCTTTTCTATTATAAGTATCCAAACATCATTTTGACTATAAAATCAACATATTCAATACATGGGATAGCTACAACAGAGGGAAGATGTTCTAATTACAAAAAACCCTGAACTGAATTCAAGAAATGTGTTAGTTAAATGATAACCTGTGACAATCCCAAATCTACTTTCCTAGAAAGTATAAATCATGGCTTGTACTGAATAGATCTAATTAACTCTCAATCTAAATTATATTAATACATATTAATAGTTATATGGAATTTTTAGAGGCTTCTGGAATTTTAAGGGTAACAAATTGCTCTGAAATACATAAACTATTACAAATATGTTAAAATAACATAAGTATAATTAATTATAAAATAAGGTTGCTTTTTATGATATATTAGTTTAATTATCCAGCTATTAAATTTCTCTTTTTTCTGGAACCAATTTAGTATAAAATAACAACTTTTAGCCTCTTGTACTTTAAAATAAATAAGCACTATTTTTATTTTTTTTAGACTTTTACAAAAACTTTTTTTTTTTTGTATTTGGGCTCTGGGGTACATCTTGTGCACATCCTGCATCCTGTAGGATTGTTGCATAGGTACTTGCCATGGTGGTTTGCTGTCTCCATCCCCCATACCCCCACCCCCCCATCACCTACATCAGGCATTTCTCCCGGTGTTATCTCTCCCCATCTTCCCTGTCCCCCTCACTGTCGGTCCCCTCCCCACCCCTTCCCCACCTAGCCCTGTGAGTGTTGTTCCCTTCCCTGTGCCCAAGTGTTCTCATTGTTCATCACCTGCCTATGAGTGAAAACATGCAGTGTTTGGCTTTCTGTTCTTGTGTCAGTTTGCTGAGAATAATGGTTTCTAGATTCATCCATGTCTCTACAAAGGACACGAACTCTTCATTTTTTATGGCTGTATAGTATTCCATGGTGTATATGTGCCACATTTTTTTGTTCAGTCTATCATCGATGGGCATTTGGGTTGGTTCCAGGTCTTTGCTATCGAAAACAGCACTGCAATGAACATACATGTGCATGTATCTTTATAATAGAACGATTTATAATCCCTTGGGTATATACCCAGTAATGGGATTGCTGGGTCAAATGCAATTTCTATTTCTACATTCTTGAGGAATCACCACACTGTCTTCCATAACGGTTGAACTAATTTACACTCCCACCAACCATGTAAAAGTGTTCCATTTTCTCCACAACCTCTCCAGCATCTGTTGTCTGCAGATTTTTTAATGATTGCCATTCTAACTGGCGTGAGGTGGTATCTCAATGTGGTTTTGATTTGCATTTCTCTTTTTTTTTTTTTTTTTTTTTGAGGCCGAGTTTTGCTCTTGTTACCCAGGCTGGAGTGCAATGGCGCGATCTCGGCTCACTGCAACCTCCGCCTCCCGGGTTCAGGCAATTCTCCTGCCTCAGCCTCCTGAGTAGCTGGGATTACAGGCACGCGCCACCATGCCCAGCTAATTTTTTGTAGCTTTAGTAGAGACGGGGTTTCACCGTGTTGACCAGGATGGTCTCCATCTCTTGACCTCGTGATCCACCCGCCTCAGCCTCCCAAAGTGCTGGGATTACAGGCGTGAGCCACCGCGCCCGGCCTGATTTGCATTTCTCTAATGATCAGTGATGATGAGCATCTTTTCATATGTTTGTTGGCCTCATATATGTCTTCTTTGGAGAAGTGTCTGTTCATATCCTTTGCCCACTTTTGAATGGGTTTGTTTGTTTGTTTGTTTTCTTGTAAATCTGCTTTAGTTCTTTGTAGATTCTGGATATTAGCCCTTTGTCTGATGGGTAGATTGCATAAATTTTTTCCCATTCTGTTGGTTGCCGGTTTACTCTAATGATTGTTTCTTTTGCTGTGCAGAAACTCTTAAGTTTAATTAGATCCCATTGATCTGTTTTGGCTTTTGTTGCCATTGCTTTTGGTGTTTTAGTCATGAAGTCCTTGCCTGAATAAGCACTATTTTTAGTCTCAGGAGCAGCTTCTTCTACTCAAGGTAATGAATTTCTTTTTCTTTTGTAATTTTTTTTCTGGTTCTACATATTCAAGGTAGTTTTTACCATTATTCCCCCAAAGATGAAAGGTGACTGACCAAAAGATTGGAAATTAAATGTGATTGTCAAAAAGTAGCTCATATTTGTAGAGTAACAAATATTGAGCAAAAAAGCAAAATTATTTTTACATATCAAAATAGAGGGGAAACTTTTAAAAATGCTTCCAATTTGGCTAGAAACATGTATCTTTTCATACAAGAATGAGGAGTGGAAATAAAGAAGGCTTGTTGAGTTGACAAAAGCCTGAAGACCTAAGTTACTCCTATGACATATTTTTTCAGAATCTTTCCAATACTGCAGCATAATCCCTTCGCCTAATTTCTTGGGCATCTAATTTTTGAGTTAAATGATGATGAGAATTACAGATAAATTTTTAAAAATTTGTAAAATAAATTAAAAAAAATTTTACTTGCAAAAAGCAAAATATATATCATAAAGTAGGTTTATCACTTTGATAACTGTCTTAGAGAATGGCTTCAGGCTTCAACAGCTTTCTCTGCCTGACTGCAAAAGACAGAAATCCATACCCCATACATTTTTCTTTTCCCATGAATATAAGGCAAACACACCACATTTTTAACCACACTTGTATTCAGTTTTAAAAGTAACAATAATAGTAAACCTTGCTATTAAAAAAATTAGAAGATAACAAAATTTCACTGACAGGGATAAAACTCCAGGAAGAGTGAGCTACCATACCACTTCTTCATAAACCATACCACAGCCTCACACATGCTGATTCCAATTTCCCCAAAACTCACTGTACTCTGGGGGTAAGTTTAGAAGCACAATCCCAGAGAAGGAATCTGATACATAAAGGTTAATAAGATTTCTAGTTCAAGAATATGGAACTGGTTACAAACGAAGATACTGGTGTCACAGTGGTTCCCTCTTCTAGAAAACCAGAGTCATTGAAACTAGAAAACTGAACGCTGAGCCAGGCCATTATACAATGAACTGTTTAAGCTACACTCACACATACATACTCACCCGCAAAACCCTGTCCATAAACCCTGCACAACTGAAAAACAGTGCTTAGTAACTGTGTTTTCTCTGAAACTCCTAAATGAAGGTAGGGCCTTCTTTGGAATACACATCCTACTGTAAACTAAAAAGCACACCAAAGAATTAGCTCAATGCGATTTATGCCCCAACCTGCAACATTTCCATATATACCATCAGTCTGTGCACTAAGCACACTGCAGTTTTATATGATTTGGGGCAAAACACTCCACACATTTCTTGGCCTCAGTTTCTTCATCTGTAAAATGATAAATTGAGCTAGATAGTCAGTAAGATCCCATTTGCCCTAAGAATCTGTGACTGCCTAGGATAATTTATCCAGAGATTTCAAAGCTCTTAGAAGCTTCCTGACTATCCTGAGAGCTGTGAGCTACTAAATGATGGCTCTGCATTTTATCAAAGCTTACAAGCATTATTGACAAATGTGTCCTACTTAATGAAAAGGAATAAATTATGATTATGAAAAAAGCATTTTGTAAGTCATTATTTACACATTTTCTGTTGTTAATTCTTCCCAGAGAAACAAACATGGTAGATTCTCCCCTCTAGAAATTTGCCACTAAGACTGATAAAACAGATATAGTTATATATGTAGAAGACAAACCAGAATAAAAATAAAAATATGAAATAAAAGCATGGAGAGGAGAGGTTGTGCATCCTACATTAGTAAAGTACAAAGAAATCTTACATTCAGGCTAGCAAAGCAAAATTTTTCTGTAACTATAAAACTTCAACCTGGATATGATGTTTCCACATTTAACTGATCAGACTATACACAAGAGAATTTCCATAACTCATAAAAATAAAGCAAAGTGCGCTTTACTCAATTTTCATTTCAACTTCTATTTAGTTTCCCTCACATACACCTTTGCCACTAGGAAAGGAATGCTACGTGTGTCATTAAGAACAGCAAGCCTGG